GGCCGAGTTATTATAACACCATGCGCGTGGCTCAAAAGTTTGACTTAAGCTGAGCTGACGCACGTTGATAGCCAACGCACGTTTTCAGGAAAGAGAATGATGGATTACTGACTAAAACGCTAAAGTTAACATCTGGTATTTTTTTGGTCGACCTACTGTATTCAGTAATCTACTATGACATCATCCACCAAAAGAGCGGAAGAACTGTGTTTTTATTGGCAACAGTGTTTAATTTTGGGTATTTTGATCGTTTTTGTTGGCGATAAAACCTTACACGCAATATTCCAACCATTTTCTTACATGTCTAGCGAATCAGGTGTTGGTTAACTAGCTCGTAGTTTAACGTGATTTGTTGCCTACGTGCACGTGGAAGGCATTAGGAGGGAAGGGAACTGTGGGAATTGATGCGCGCAGGTACATAAAGAGCGTCCCTTTTCCTCGGGCGCCTTTCTTCTCATTTCCCCCTTCAGAAGCCTCGCAGTTTACGTGATCAGGACATCGAGCAGTTGGAGAGTATAAGAACTCCTGTTATTGAAAACAGTGTGTGCCTTATCTCGTACTCAGGTCTCACTCTGTCTTATGCTGAAAGACCTGGGTACGAGATTAGTTTTCGCCTTTTTTACAAATTAAAATGGGAAAATAGCCCCTTAACGAATTTCAGTTGGTGGAAAAATGGGCAGAAATCATATATCAATGCAATTCATCAATACCCTGCACTGCGCGATTGGATGAACCAGGACTGTTAATACAACACATTCGTTATAAATAATGGAAATTAATTACAAGGCCGATTGAAGAGTATATTAAAGACCGTTCCTGTACTTCTCCAGAAACCATGTGAAATTAGTAGCCTCAGTTATCGAGAAAAGAGGGGGGGGGGGTAAAAAAAAAAAACCAAGGGCTTGCTTTTGGTTAACCAACTTTGAAGAAAACCAAAGGTCAAGTTACAGTTTTTAAAATAATTACTAGTATGAGTTCAGTCGACCGGTTTGCAGTTTATGTCCAAGGCCTTACCTCGCAACCTTTTCGCAGTATCTCAAGGAGTTTATATATCCATTTATACGCGTGTTCTGATTATCTGAGAGGCGTGTCTGAATGAGAGTCCGTCGCGGGTTTGCATCACCCTTTTGGTGTTTATATCAGGCTATGCGATCACGCATAACTTAAACAATTAACCGATTAAATGCTAATTATGTTTCTCATGCAAGGTAATCCTATACACCCTTGCCTACAACCCCATGACACTTACATATACACTAGGCCGACCAACTGACAGAGCTTGTTGCATCCCTTGGGGTTCTTTAACGTACCACAAGAGTCGTAGTTCTCAAGAGTCAAGTTCTGTGAGAAGGAGCGTGGTTAAAGAAGGGCGCATATTTAATAACCTTAAGGATGAGTACATATTTGATCACCCTGAGGATGGATGGAGCTTAAACTTGAGGATTGGCTGGTTCTACAAAAATAACATTTTCATTCACCAGTAGTCACGTGCTGAGTTTAGTGTAGCATTTAAACTGAACTGCTTTACATGCAAATGTCATAAAAGCCCTTAATTCTTAGTTCTTTTCCACTTTGAAATCACTTATCTGCAGAATCTTTAAGCGTCATAACTTGCCAACTTGTTACTGGGACCGAGGGACTTCTTCAATGATCAAACAGGACACTGAATTCCAGCCTGTGTTACCATCAGAATTTCCATATCCTGCACAATTTCCAATGTTGATTCCAACGCGGATTTTGCCCTTGTGTATGTTGTTACAGTAGCCTTCAATGAATCCTGGTCTGTGGTTGGCTTCGTCCTTATTTCGGATCCACAGCACTGCGTCAATAGGCAGGGGACCACTGCACTCGGCTCCATTGAAAGTGATGAACCATCGCTTGCAGCAGTTGTTACAACCTCCCACGTTTACTTTTCCCTAGTAAACAACACGGAGAGCAGTGTCATCATTGGTTTTAGTAAACTGACAATCCTGCAGCAATAGAAACAACGATTATTTCTATGTCTGTTCAAAAGAGAACAGACTTCGAAATAGATGTATGTGCTATCCTTGGTAGACACGCAAACTAAGGATTTGTCTAAAGGAACCACATGACACAGTAACGGAAAAAAAACAAGTACACTTAGTGTTAAATGTTCTTTTCGCCCAGAGGGCTTTTAAAAGCATTGATCCTGTGAAATCAACAAACCTTGATCAGTCCAATATCACGACTATCGCTACTCCTCCATGCGCACTGTTTCCAGTCCCAGTGATCGGTGTCTGTTCTACTTGATCCCCTTTCTCCCTTCTCACCAGGGGCCCTGTCACGCCCTTTTCACCTTTCGCCCCATCTTGGCCGTCGCGGCCTGGTAACCCATTATGTCTCCGTTACGTTTAGGGGCTCTTTGCAAACACTTGTTTGAGTTCTGTGTTATATGAGTTTAAAGAAATTAGAGGAGAAACCACTGCGTTGTAACTAAAGGTTTTAAAATAATAAGATAAACTGAATTTGCTCTCAGTAAGAATGGTTTTTATTTTATTTTTTACTCACGAAAAACAGTCGAAAATAAACTAATTGATGATGATTATTGATCATGCATGTGACATGAAATTGACCAAGCCTTATCAAGATCCTCGATGGGTGCACGTTAATAAACCTTTTGGCTTATGCTTTATAACCAGCGAGTGAGCTCTACGCACGTAACAAAGGCGACAGTTGTAATTCAAAACTACGTACGTTTTCTGGCTTAGAAACAAATCTATTCAAAATCGAGAGAAATTAAAATCCAAGACTTGGATTTTTATTATTGGAGTTTATCACTAGCTTTCTGGCAGTACTTTATGTTGTTATCCAATTCATCTTATATTTCAACAATGAACATGAAGCCAGCTTCGGAAAATTTGCCTGCTGCTTGGCTCTTGTCATAAGTCATTACTAATATTGAATATCAGTCGAGTTACTTGACTGAGTATCGTGATCATGATTCAAATAAAGCATTTCCCATACTCAAACGTATGAAAAAACACAACACCCTTTGAACACCTTTCATGCTGCTGAGCTTGATTTGCGAAAAATTATGGACTGATCAGGTAATATTTCAGTTATACCCCGCTCGCACAAACTCGTTTCAAATTCCATCAGAGGGTTGTCCCAACCTCGTTCCCAGACTTCTCTCCAACTCGTTCCACGGAGCAGGGACGAGTAAAGGTTGATTTCCACTGACGCGTTTTTGGCTGCACAAGTTAACGCACGTTAATTTTAATCAAAAAAGGGGCAACATATAAAGTGTTGAGATTAAATGTGAAGTTGAGCGAGGTTTTACTTTTACGCTTACGTGCGACCTTTCATACACTGCCTCTATTTTATTTGCGAACGTAAAATTTACGCACTTACGCACGTAAAAACTACGCGACAGTGGAAATCAACCCTAAGGCAAACAAGATTTTTTCTCAGGAAGCGTTATACTGCGCGTCACTAAAACTAGCTGACCAAGAATAGTCTGCGGGCTCCTCTTGCCGCCCGCAGCTAATATATACTAGATTTATGAGAGACAAAAACTTGCTCGAAACATAAGCGATTATTTTCCTCGTTTTCTAAGGGTCAGTGCTTTTGGGATGATCCGGATGAGTATCAGTGATCTGAAACCACTCGGATCATGGTTTCCTCGGTTCCCGTGATGCATCTTCATTCGAGTGATCTCGGATCTCTGATCCTGATCCGGATCAAACCGTCCGTAATAGATATTCCACCGTTTGTCTTACTGGCTTTGTTTAGTGCACAAAACAAATACAGTACATCCCCGCTAACTCGAACTCGCATAACTCAAACTCCCGGCTAACTCGAACTATATCCAATCTCCCTTGGATTTAACCCTACTTTTCCGTCACTCATTTTTACTCGGTTAAATCGAACTCGAATAATTCGAATTCCCTTTAACTTTAATTTCCTTTCCCCTGATCAATAATTCACTAAAGTTTACCCCGATAACTCGAATTGTGGTTTCTTGTAACTCCACTCGGATGTCATGATCCATTGATTCTTCTTGTTGTATGGGGGTAAAAACATTTAAACTAACACTTGTCAACACTTACTGTAACAGCAGTTTGATTTTCATTGGTGCAACGAACAGTTCACTTTTTATCACTAAAAATGGTTAATCATTCTACTGTTTCTGGTGATATAAGTTAGATTTGCACCACACTATACACTGAAGAGCTAAAAAACCAGTAACTATTAATTTTAAGACGGCAAATTGAATTTTGCAATCGACCCCGATAACTCGAACCATCGCTAACTCGAACAGTTTTCCGTTTCCCTTCAGAGTTCAAGTTAGCGGGGTTTCTACCGTAGCGTATTTTAAGAGATGATATGTATTAAGAACTTTGCAGTTTTCAAAATTCCGTTGCCTAGGGCTCCACAAAATTTTTTCTAACGTCGCCAATAAATAAATTGTAAACGCGACCTGGGCGCGTCGAAGCAGTGGAGGATGACTGAAAGCGCTAGGAAGTCCCTGAGTCTTCTAATGAAAATTAGCAGATTAAGGTACTTTGACTGATCTTTGTTCTTTGCAGGAGAATGCTTTTTCATGATACAGTGGCGTTTCCCAATATAAAAATTGGTAATTGAAGACAAATTTTTGCGACGATTTTTAGAAGAGGCAAATGTCTCTCAGTTGCGGAAGCGCAAGCCCTTCTACACTTGAATTGAAAAGGATGCCCTTGACTACAAAATTCAAAAAAAGGTGAAGATCTTGTAAGTATAAGAGGTGTACTGTGAAGCGGTGACACAATCTTTCAAGAATTCATTCAGTACAAAACCAGAAATTCAGCATAAAGAGGCATGTCGATATCTATACAATTAACGTGCTTATCAGGTTATTGCGGGTTTTAAACTGACTTGTTTTACATGCAAACGTTTTCAAAACTACCCTATATCTTAGCCCTTTTATTGTTTAGCTCAATTCAAATACTAATCAACAGATTTTGTCAGCAATATTACTAACTATCGTGGTTTTTAGCGTGTCACTGGGAACGAGGGACTTCTTCAATGATCAAACGGGACACTGAATTCCAGCCTGTATAGCCATTGGAGTTTCCATATCCTGCACAATTTCCAATATTGATTCCAACTCGGATTTTGCCCTTGTGTATGTTGTTACAGTAGCCCTCAATGAACCCGGGTCTGTGGTTGTCTTCGTCTTTATTTCGGATCCACAACGCTGCGTCAATAGGCAGGGGACCACTGCACTCCTCTCCGTTGAAAGTGATGAACCATCGCTTACAGCAGTTAGCACACCCTCCCACATAGACGTTACCCTGGTAAACAACACGAAGAGCAGTATCATCCTTGATCTTAGTGAACTGACAATCCTGCAAGAACAGAAACACCGATTATTTCCATGTCTGTTTAAAAGACCTTTTTTCGCCTATGTAAAAATACCACTGAATAATAACTCGTATGAGGATATATGTCATCACTGGGAGATACACTAGCTAATGATAAATCTAAACGAACCACAGACAGCAAAAATCAACCAACCTTAATCAGTCCAATATCACGACCATCGTTAGTCTTCCACGCGCACTGTTTCCAGTTCTGTGATCAGTATCTGTTCCACTTGGTCCCATTTCTCCCTTCATACTACGTGATCCAGAGGGACCTGCCACGCCCTTTTCTCCTTTGGCACCATCTCGGCCGTCGCGGCCTGGTAACCCATTATATCCATTTACTCCGTTACGTCCAGGGAGGCCAGGCGATCCTTGCAAGCACGTGTTTGAATTCTATGTCAATAGTTAAAGGAAATCAGCGGATAAAACCATTTTGCTTAAAAATGGTAGTAAAAATAATATACGAGAAGTTCAAGGACTACTGCAAAGCTTATACAACGTGCTCATGTATTTCAAAAAGTTATTCCGGCTAATAGACCTTTTTACCGATACGGCGGCCATATTGAATTAATTCGATTTAAGGAGTATTATAGGATGCCCAGGGGGCATGAGCACATTTCGTTTGTATTTTTGAGCGCTTTTCGGGACATTTTTTCTTAAAGTTTTCTTAGAATAAGATTGTAATGGGAAAAAATATTCTTGTGCCGTGTTTGGATGTAATAATGATCGCCTTTTCCTAGTTTAGTATTAGAAATATTGTCTTGACTGTATATAGTCTCGGGAAAAAGGCGATCATTATTACATCCAAACATAAATTTAGCGTACAGCTAGCTAGAACAAAGTATGCGTTGAGTTTTCTTCTCTCTCTTAGAATAAGATTGTAATGGGAAAAAATATTCTTGTGCCGTGTTTGAATGTAATAATGATCGCCTTTTCCTAGTTTAGTATTAGAAATATTGTCTTGACTGTATATAATCTCGGGAAAAAGGCGATCATTATTACATCCAAACATAAATTTAGCGCACAGCTAGCTAGAACAAAGTATGCGTTGAGTTTTCTTCTCTCGCTGACTCTCATATTTTGTTACTGTATAGGACTTCACGTAGTAGGAAAATTCGCCAAAAAGCATGTGGTAGGATTACAGTAACTGATTTACCGTGGTATAATTAACGGTATTCGTCGCGTGTATAAAGTGAACAAAAGCTTCACATTGCGTTGCCGATTATAAGCTTACCTTATCAGAATTTAGCGAGCTCCTCTTCTATCACTGCGAAACAACTGAATAAACTGCTTAACAGTTTTCGCTAAAAAATATAAATTAAACTGAAGGTCCAGGGAAAAATCTTGGTTTTGGTCAAAAAACTATGACAGAAAAAACATGAGGCAAAAAATCATTTCTGAATTAATTTATGTGAAATTTTTCTTGTTTTTGAATAATATTATACGATGTACTGTTGTAATCAAGTGTTTTGAGAGAATATGCGGCTTTGAAAAGTCACGGAAGTGACTTTTGTCAATTATTCATTACCAAATATGTTTTTTTTGTCGTCACGATAAGAATAAATGTGAAAATCCACCAGAAACAAAACGTTGTCGGCCCGAAACATTCAATGCAAATTCGTTATAAGAACAATGCGCTTTCGTTATTCTTTGTAGTCTCACTAACTAGTTATCTTCAGAGTCAAAGTGAGTTGTATCACGTCAGTTGATGGTATTATACTTTGGTTATTGAACTGATTGGTCAAATACGTCACTGTGTTTTTGGTCTGTCAGTTAAGCCGTGATGTTATTGGCTATGAAGACTCGTAATGTAATTGGTGTGTTTTGATCCGTCTATTGTCGCAGTTAAACAGTCGTCTATTGTTAGTCAAATTTTCAGTTCTCCAGTCGTTCTCTCGTAGTTAGTTTTGCTTGATCTCGTACGGTGCTGGTAACTGTTGGCCACGATTCAGTGACGTTTGTTCTAAGTTAGTAAACCAGCTTTCTAAAGTCAGAGTCGTTGTTAGTAGTATGTAAGAATACGTAACACATGTCGCAGAGTCCCAATCGATTTGATGTTTCGTCTGTAAATTGTGTTCAGCAATGTGATTGTTGACGTCATCATTTCTCGTCGCTCGTTTGTGTTCGGTCAGTTTCGCCAATGTAAGTAGCCTAGCAGTCGCAGCATTTGATCTTGTATACTGCTCCCTGTCTGTTAGTAAGCAGTCGTCTTAAAGTGGTTACCGGTTTGTGTGCAACAAGTATTTTACAAGGTTGTATAGGATTCGTGCGATAGTTTCAGAGGTGCGTCTGATGTGCGGTATAGTCGCTGTCGTAACAGCGCCAGAGTTCACGTTGGTCTGAATTAGTGTTACTGTGAGTGTTCCGTCTAACAAAGTCCGTACTGTAGTTGTTCTTTATGTACTAAAAACGTTGTTTAGGTAGTCAGTCTCGTCTTGTAGGGTGTTAGGTGAGTCACAAACTAGTTGCGTTCGTCTCGTCGAAGTCCGAAGGAGAGAGGTCGGGTTGTACGATGACTGGTCTAGTAATCGCTCGGCATGTGTCGGTTTCTGTAAATAGTCGTTCGTGGTCTGTTGTTGTCGCAAGTGACCAAGCAGTCTAGGAAAGGTATCTTACCATTTTCTTCGATCTCCAGTTCCAGTTAACGTTTTGTTTAATTTGCTCAGTGGGCTCTTATTCTCTACGATTGCTCGATGTCCTGATCGCGTAACCTGCACGGTAGGCCTTTGAAGGGGAAAATGCGAAGAAAGGTGCGCAAGGAAGAAATAGACCCTTAATTTACTCGCACCCATCAATTTTCCCGGCCAGTTCCCTACCATTCAAACTCCTGTAACGTGCTTCAGGCAACAAATCACATTAAACCACCAATTAACGGGCTCTGTAAATAAAATATGATTGGCTAAAGTGTAAAAATGGTAGAAATCTTGCGTGTCCGGTTTTATCGCTAACATGAAAAATTCAAATACCCCAAATTAAACCAACAGCTGTCAAAGGAGTACAAAACACTGTTTAGTGGGTCTGCAGCCATATCATGGTAAAACATTACCCTTCTCTGATGGATGATCTTTAATTACTTGTTATTTATTAGGCTACCGGGCGAAAAAAAAAACTACGAGAGGAGAGGAGAACTGAAGCTTTAAAGGGCTTGTCTTCTTCTTCTTCCTTTTTTTTTGGGGGGGGGGGGGGGAAGGTTCAATTCTTGTTTTATTTGGCTAAACGGATCAATCACCCTGATCCGGGCTGAGACAGAAAGGTATGATATTGTTCGCTTTTCTAAGGTGACCACTAAGTCTTTGGCCTCGGGACTCGGAAACAGGCTCTTAGGAGTCAAACGAATCAGGTGAGAGCGAAATTGCAGGTGAAATTTGACTTGGTGTGAAAACAAGACTAAGGTGGTCCGCCGACCGTGTGAGTCTACATCCAGGAACTTGAATAAGACGACTGTGTAAGAGAAACGTCCAGAGGTGTTTATCTGCCAATGGTCTGAGTTTTTTCGAGTTATTCGATGATATTTCGCTTATTTTAAACGTGAGAAGATTATGCGTCGTCGTGGATAGTCTTATCAGTGCCGCGAATGTGTGTGATTGTGTGATTTCCGCATGGTGTTGACAGGTATGTGATCACTTGGTTGAATTGCAGTTTCGTCAAAATATTCTGTGCCAGCCATTAATATTATTTCGTCGGTGTTTAGCTTAGCTGATTGTACCTTGGAAAAGCAACTCTCGACTCAGAAAAATTGGATCTATTGTAGGTCTAGTTTCAGCGGGCTCTAATGGCATTGAACCAAAGGCCGATTTTTCCAGATAAGAAGGTGATAATTTGTGCACTTATGTTTCATTCAGTTTGTTGTCTATTTCATGCGGAACCCTGTTGTTTGTCGGACCGCGAAAAGAGTAGTGTTTTGCTAACTATTTAAGTTGTTATGTAAGCCTTAACCAGGCACTCTTTCACTGCAGTTCACTCAACTTAAAAATTTTTAGACTGAAATGACACCAGTTTGAAACTTCGCGAAGTCAGATTACTGAATAAATGTTCTAAAATTTGCGTCATTATAAATTTGGACTCGTTGGAATGCTTCTAGGGACAATTAACTTACTGCCCGGCATCAGATAAAGGCTTTTAATCGGCCTTTGAATGAGGTTTATTGTTTGAAATTGCTAAGAAGTAGAATGAGTTGATATTTTTGTTAACCCGGTTTTCAAAAACCCAGGTATAGATACCAGGTGCATTATGGTCTATGTGAAATGGTGACCGAGTTGTCCAAGTCTCTGCTTCAAAGCGAGGCTAAGTGCGAAGCTATTCATATGAAAATAATTTTTAAGTATCATGCAAATAAGACTTATTTTCACAAGAAAGGTTTTGCACTCAGCCTCGTTTTGAGAGTGAGCATATCTGGAATTCGGAAATAGCCTATTACATGAAAATTACATATCCTTAAAGAAGGACATATATTTAATATCTTTAAGGATGGGCGCTCACTGGAAAACCTTGAGGGTGGATACCTATTTTATAAAGGATGGACACTTGAAAAAAAATCTCAATGTCTTAGGGGTGGACACTTATTTAATAAACGTGAGAAAGGGCGCATTACTAATAACCTTAAACTGGATAGGTGCTTATACAAAAATGACATATTCATACATCAGTAGTCACGTGCAGAGTTTATTGTGGTTTTGAAGCTGAACTGCTTTACATGATAATGTTATTAGAGCCCTTAATTACGTCATTAATAAACACATGACGCTTTTCAACTTGTTACTGGGACCGAGGAACTTCCTCAATGATCAAACGGGACACTGAATTCCAGCCTGTGTTACCATTGGAGTTTCCAAATCCTGCACAGTTTCCAATGTTAATTCCAACTCGGATTTTGCCCTTGTGTATGTTGTTACAGTAGCCCTCAATGAACCCGGGTCTGTGGTTGTCTTCGTCTTTATTTCGGATCCACAGCACTGCGTCAATAGGCAGGGGACCACTGCACTCGACGCCATTGAAAGTGATGAATCATCGCTTGCAGCAGGCACCACACCCTCCCAAATAGAAGTTTCCCTGGTAAACAACACGGAGGGCAGTGTCGTCCTTGGTTTTAGCGAACTGACAATCCTGCAACAACAAATTAGTTCTGAACAATTATTTTCAGGGAAATTGTCATTATCAGGAGCCCATCATACACCCTACATTTCGTTTAAATAACCTAATTTTATCCAATGCGGATATACCACTGCATTGACAACGTTCAACAATAACTAAAAAGGCAGGTGAAGCACAGTGGCTGGGATGATATTTTCATATGACGAGTATTTGTTATGCTAACTAAACTATAGCTTTGATCACAGATACATCAACCAACCTTAATCAGTCCAATATCACGACTATCGCCA